ATTTCCGCTTTTGTTGTTGGTTTTTCAACGGAAAATGTTTTTAATTATTTTATATTTTTTTTAAATTGAAAAAATATTTTGGGATATGAGTATTGGTAATGGCAGCCACATTATATAAAGAAATACTTCTAAAAAATGTTTACTGAATTTTTACGTTTTACTTTAAATTCAAAAAACACGCTGTGTTGTACAGTCATATAGAAGTTTTAGTGTTGACATAGTGAACGAGCTCGACGTTTTGCGTAAATAAAACGCAGTATGAGCTTAAAGGAAGCTCTGTCTTCGTTAAAAAAATTTTTTTTTAAATGTTGTTATTTTTTTACGAAGAAGGAAATATCGAGCCACAGCATGAAAAATAATTAAAACTACGTTATGTAACCATTTTAAAATTGAAATATATAAAATATACTCGGTATAATATTTAGAAAGTAAAATTTCTTTATAAATAGGCAAATACTTTTGCTTAAGTTTTTGTAATTGTGGCATTTAACATTAATTACAAAAATTTTTATATGGCAACTGTGTAAACTCAACAATAACAATTTTATATATATATATATATATATATATATATATATATATATATATATATATATATATATATATATATATATATATATATATATATATATATATATATATATATATATATATATATATATATATATATATATATATATATATATATATATATATATATATATATATATATATATATATATATATATATATATATATATATATATATGGTGTTATTTCTAAAATAGCAATTTGAAATTTAAACAGAAAACAAAAATTTAATATTGTAACACAATATCTTAACTGTAGTTAAGTTTGATAATACTTTTATCGATAATACTTTACGTTTTTACAATCTTATCACAGAGCCAAAACGTTTTTACGGTCTTATTACAGAGCTCCACGGATTGGCATTCAACTACAAAGTTAATGTCTCACGTTCATAAAGCTCTTAACCTTAATGACAGTATGATACAGATGTTAATTGTTGTTTTGTTCAAGATTGAGTTTAGTTTTATTTGTATTTTTAGTATATTATAATTCTTGTAAATATACAAAGCTTGTTATGTTTTTAATTTAACATACACTTTATGAAGTAATCCTAAACTTCAGTTGTATGATGAATTTTTTTTTTAATATGGTCTCTAAGGTTATGTAAGCTACATAGCTACAATTAAAACTTAACTGTTAATATGAACTCTTGGCAATTTAGATTGTAAGAATCCAGATTTTCTTTATTTATTTTTTTTCATTTTGAATAATACACATGTTTCAAGATAAGTAAAATAACTAGGTACTAAAGGCCCTGGAACTGTATAGCGACACCAAAAGTTAATAACTTGTGTGTGTAATCATTTATTTATTTGTAGCATTAACATAAGTTCAGTTTATAACTTCTACTTTTTAAGGCAGTTTCTTAAGCTTGGTAATTATGGAAAATGCACTGTTGCTACGCATTTTAGGTTCAACTTGCGTAAAGCAGCGTAGATAATTAAAAAAGTTTAAATGGAATACATGCAAGAGATTAAATTACGATCATCGATGACATAAATTACGTAACGCTAAATTTGTATTGAAACTACGTAGGGGATGAATTTAATTAAAGGGTTTGCATAGCAAAACTCATTGTTAATAGTTGCTATTTTTTTTTTTTTTTTATTTTTTTTTTTTTTTGTAGTTATTAAGGTGGTCCCAGAATTCCTTACGGTCTTAATGTAGAGTACCGCAAAAGAGCATTTAACTAGAAATTTTAAGCCTTCTCCTTTACGCTGGCGCACAGTGAGTCAGAAAGGTGAAAAAACGGCAAAAATTATATAACTATCATATATAAACGTGTGATATATCAATACTATCGTATTTTGGGTCAAAAAATTTAAATTTGTTATTGAAAATATTTTTTACGCGTACCTATGACGCGTACAACGCAAGCTTACGCGTGTAAGTGTCATTTACGCGCACAAAATATGATTTAAATAAATAAATTGCATTCCTTGATCCAAAATACCATATAAAAAAATACCACATATTTTTTATTGTAAATTTTTCTTGTGCCTCAGGGTAGTACACGCGTATAAGAATCTAATACGTATACGCGTATAAGTGTTATAGTCTTTTACGCGCACAAAGACTTAATTTAAAAAAATTAAATTCTTCAAACCAAAACATATACTTATTAAAAAGAAAAATTGGATTCAAAAAATCTTTTAATATTATAATAATATTAAAGTATATTAAATACAAAATAAATATTTATCTCATCTAATTTTTCTTTCAAGAAAACAAAAAAAAGAAAACCTAAAGTTATAAACCTAAAGTTATAAACAAAGATAAAACTTCAGGGGTAAGTGTTTTTCCGTTTTCAACCTTGTATTTTTTGAAACAAATGTTTGATATTACAGGATCACTTCTAATCAAGAGGTATTGGTACTGGTTTTTCATAACATTCTTTCTTGATATCTTGGCTGTATGGTTTAATCTAGCTTTGCGAATTTTCTTATTTAGAGCCTCTTGTTACTCTTCAGAGTACCAATTGGCAGTTCTAATGCCTCAGATATCTGCACACCATGTTCCAAGAGTTTATGAACAGTTGGGGGAATCATATACCAGCAATAGTTTTTGAGTATAAGAGCTGTAGTTTCATAGCAATACTGGCCAAAACTTTCTGAGTTTAACTCATAACAGGAGCATATTGATATTAGGATTGTCCTCAATTTAATAATTACATCTACTGACACTCCCGTTATATCAGCGAAAGTAAATATTACATGATTGGGAGGACAGAGTGTTAGTGAGGGCATTAACCACTTTACCATCAAACATGGTTAAATCTAGTTTGAACTTAAATGCGATTGTCGTATCCGGTTTGCCTTCCTCTACTTCTAACTTTACTTCAAATTTGACTAGTCTATTGATTTCTGCTTTTAAAAGTTTATACTCATTTCGTATCAATTCTTCCGTTTCTTTTTGATATTGGAGATGTAAGGGTCTACAGTAATGTGTACTGGAAGGCTTCTTTTTTAACCATATATTTTTGTTCGTGATGGTTAATTTAAGTGGAACAATAGCTGTCTGGAAAAGACTTTGCTCGTTAACTTGGGCCTCACCAATATTTGTATCAGTATATTTTTGTTTATAGACACTTTGACTGGAGGCACCATCAAAGCCACCTTTAAAGTGAAGTACACCTTTAAACTTCCCCCCAATTTCTGCAAACATTCTCATAGAGTCTTGGCATTCCGTAAAAGTTAATATTCTTGTCAGAGTATGATTAAACTTACCCTGTAGAGGAGTTGAAGCAGATGTTTCTGTCACAATTTAACCCTCAGGATAACACTTGTGTCTCTCATTCTTAATTTCGTGAAGTGAAGGGTAAATATCTGCATTATGTATTATTGATGAATTTCTAATAATTTGATACTGCTCATCAGAAAGGTCACACTGAACTTTTAAGCTCAAGGCATCTTCGGTTTTCATTTTTATCGGAAAATTTATCTCCGTGATATTAACTTTTTCAGAGTTTGTTGCACTTTTCATGAGAACAACGAAATCTTTTTTGGTAGGATCTCTAGTGGCTTTTTTAATTGAAGCTAATGCCAATGCTTCAGCAGGATGTTCAGCCAATTTGGCAACCTTAAACAAGATAATATTTAATATTTAAGTTTGTAAACTATTTTTTCAAACTGGGTTGAACTTAATTTACTTATTATTACCTTAGATCTTCTGCTTCTATCACCTAAATTTTCCCAGTTCTTGCTCTTTCTGAATATTAAAATATGCACTATAACATCAAATATTGCATATTTTGATTTTGAGGTTTGATAATTAGCAACATCTGCTTGAGCATTAGTTTTTTTAGTAATAGGAACTAAATGTCTTATTTGTGTGATGAATGCAAGCAATGAACTATTGTTCGCTACTTTATGCGCAAGTTATAATTAAAAAGGAAACAAAAATACAAAAAAAAAACGAAGTATTTAAAAGGTCTTATTTTAATTGGGGCAAGTTGGGGCAAATGATTTTTATTTTTTCTTCTTTCATATATACCTATTAATGGGAAAATATTAAAACTACCATGGAATCTAGTGGAATCTTTTAGTTTTTAACTAAACTCATAATTAAACTAATTTAAAAAAATCAATTTATGTCATATTATGGGGTTTTTTTGCCGTTTTTAATTGATTTTGACTCACTGTGCGCGTTGAGCCTCGGACTTCTCAGTTCTGCACAATATTGTTTTGTTAAACAATAATTTTTACCGTTGCGTAATTTGTTCATGATCTCTAAATCGTGGGTTAACTGGCAAAAAACAAACAAAAAAAAGTTGAAAACTCACAGTTTTCACTTAATACTGTAGTATTGTAAAGTTTACAACGCTTTACAAAATAGAAAATTAAGCTGTACAAAATATAAATTATGTTTATATAATATAAATATAAGTTATGTTTCAACTTTTATTTTAGTTTTAATAATAAATTAAACGTTTATGTTTAAATTAAACTTTATAGAAAACTTAAAGGATTGATTTCTCTAAACAGAGATTTTAGAAACATTAGTGGCATCACCATAAACCCGCCCCTTAATGTAGTAACTGTATATTTTATTTGAGCTTAAAATTTAATATAAATATTTTATCGCGGATAAACAATTATTAATAATTTCAATATAAACAAAAATAAAACACATGTACTATTTTTTCTGGCTCGAACAAAACTTTCATAATCTCCCAACTCTTTGCTGCAAAGCCTTGCTTACAATACTCGAAATACTTGCCGATCATTCAGCAGTAAAATATAGAAATATTTTTTTAGACTTACTGTTAACGGCTTGCGAAGAGTTTAGCATACAGTTTCTTGCTGTAACACTACTTGGTGACACCTACAGTTTTCAAAATGAATGTATTGACACAACATTTTTCAGTTACTATTAGTTTTAACGGAAATAAAGAACCATTATAACCTTGATTTGATATAACCACCATGAAA